TTGGGTCCATTCTGATTTATACTGGACATATTTTGACAAAGAAAAATAGAGTATTAAACTAATCATCATTTGGAGCAGACCTATATAATCTAACATGTGACAAGTAATAACACAAGCATTTAGTGTAGAGGAGGGGTAGAAAACAAAATAAACTGAAAAGTCTCATTAAACAACAGTTCAAATAACCATGTCTTCTCATAAACTATTAAAGTAAGGACGTAGCAACTAAAAAAAGTCCATTCAAATTTTCTTGCACTCAAAAAAATGTCGTAGATACGACACCCTGCGCTCTTTGGCAATAGCTGTGAAAAAATCTCTTTGCACCGAATCTTGAAGCAGCTCAACAGCGAAGTAGTATAGCTCATCATCCGCTGCAATACTCGGATCCTGCTCTAGAATAGCCACGACCTCATTAATTGATGTTTTCTGTACTTTATGGGGGGCATCATTGGAAGAATCCATTAGGCATGATATCTGGTTTCTGATTGTGGCAGCTCCACCCTTTTTTTTGCTCTCGAACCTAGATCGCTTAGAGCGATTCGTAGATTGAATCTCAGTTGGACCTGCACTTGGAAATTCAGGTGAATCATCTGATAAACTGACAGCAACATTGTCCTGTGTTTCACCAAATCCCATCTCGTTTGGAGCGCATGCATATTTCCCTGTTGCAACGACACCCCCGAACATTTGGTCTAACTTCTCCTCCAACTCAGGTTCAATCCCACATGTTTTATACTTTTTAGCTGCTGGAACCACCTGGAACAAAAAACCCAAATCATTTTGTTCAGTCCTGAAAGAGAAGTATATTACACAAATTATGAAAAATAAAATTTACTTACCGCGAGCCTCTCTGCCCACCACTCTTCCGAAGCATCAATGGTTCGCTTTATTGGATCCCAACCCAAACCAGTTGAACCACGCTTTAGATCCTTCCAAATTTTCCAATCTTTCTTTAGTTGATCCCATTTGTTTTTCATTTGCAGCCTGTCGTACTCCCGTCCGGTGGAGTCTTTAAAATGTTTAATGATACTATTCCAACCTTCTTTATTGAAAAAGGTTGTCGGTCTATTGCCCAGCTCAATTTCTTTGATACAGAGGTCGCAGAACAACAATTTGATTTCCTTTTCCCAGATTGCCGGTGAACCATGTTCTTTAGACTTACCAGCCATGTTACTACTACGACGAAGCAAAGATATGAAACACAACAATATAGTTTTCGATTAAAAAATTGATTAAAGAAAGTAAAAAAAATGAAAAAAGGACACCAAATGTTAATTGGATATGCTTATCGCATAAAAGTAAAGAAAGCATGTGCTGCAAAACCACTGAAAGACAAAATTAA